TTCTAGGAGATCGAGACGAGCACCAGGTCGGGTGTGCATGTTGTGGCCACCCAATCGTCTGAGTTGGTGTAGGTGGTATCAAAGCTGGTCTCGACCATTGATCGTTCTGGGATGGTCCCAAGAATAGGAAACAACAGACGATGCATTGCCAATGGTGCGAGAGCACCCATCATAGTGTGGAAGACTGTCAAGCAATGAGGGAGTCGACTACACCCTAGGAGCAGGTGAACTTCATCAACAATGCTAGGCGCGATGACCCCTACAGCAACACGTATAACGAGGGGTGGCGCCAGCATCCCAAATTCTCCTGGAGTGGAAATAATCCTAAGCCACCAGTCTCCCAGGGACCTCCAGGCTTCCAGAGACCGCCATATCAGCCTAGTCAGGGGTAATTCTAGCAACAACAACAGTCTCTTTACCAGCCCATGCAGGGTCATGCTGCTCAACCACATCCGCGACCTTTCCAGCAGCCAGGTGCAGCCCCCTGCACCCCTAGTGCAGAATATTTCGATAGCTGAACTGCGGGACTTGGTGGGTTCTCTTGCCAATTCCAGTGCTCATAAATTCAACACTATGGAGGAATTCATGGAATGCCTCGAGTAAATTCCTGGCTCTTGAAGCTGTCGAGAGGAACACACATGTTGTTTTGCAGGATATCCAAACCCAGCTGGGGAGTGTGGCTCAAGCAGTGGCACAGAGGGCTCCGGGTACCTTGTCGGCTCATACCATTCCTAATCCGAAGGACCCGAATGCCCACTATAATGCTATCACTACAAGGAGCGGCAAAGTGACTGCAGACCCACCTGTCCTGGCCAGACAAGCAGGAGAGAGACCTGCTTCGACATTTCCAATTGTTGAAAAAGAAATGAAGAAGGAGGTTGAGGTGCCTGCTCCTAAGCCGCAACTAGTGGTGAAGGAGTATGTCCCTCAACTTCCCTTCCCTACTCGGTTACACAAAGACCGGCTAGAGGCAGAGTTCGGGAACTTCATGTCCATGCTTAGGAAACTGAATGTTCATGTGCCCTTCCTGGAGGCACTATCTCAAATGCCTAAGTATGTGAAGTTCCTGAAGGGTCTTCTCTCTAAAAAGCTTAAGCTGTGCGAGCTGGCCACAGTGGAACTCAGCGAGGAGTGTTCGGCCATCTTGCAGAACAAGCTCCCGCAAAAGCGGAAGGACCCAGGTAGTATTACTATCCCATGCTCTATTGGTAATTTGCATGTAGAGAGGTCCTTGGCGGATTTAGGCGCTAATATCAATGTTATACCATATAAATTGTTCAAGAAACTAGGCCTAGGTGAACCCAGTGCAACTAGGATGAGTATTCAATTAGCTGACCGATCTGTAGTTCATCCTAGGGCCATAGTGGAAGACCTCCTGGTTAAGGTTGGCAGATTCTTTTTTCCTGTCGGATTTTGTTGTCTTGGACATCAATGAAGATGCAGAAGTGCCCCTTATTCTAGGCAGGCCTTTCCTAGCCACTGCCAAGGCTCTTATATATGTGCTTGATGGGACCCTGACTTTGAGAGATGGCGAGGAGCAGATAACATTTTCCATTGCTAATAATATGAATGTTATCTTGCCTGTGCATGCTTTATCTCACCAGGTACACGAGGTTGTCGTGTATCCTTTTGTGTCTCCCGTTTCCTCCATGCCCCCGCTTTCTCAGTTACCAAAAGAGCGGATTAAGGAGGAGTGACGGCCAAAACTGCAGGTTGCTAAGCCTTCTCAAAAGAAAGACGGAGACCACTATGAGCTGGTCCCGCCTCCTGAGCCATGACCTCCCTGGCCATCCGAGTATTCACTCGCTTGCATCCTGCCGGATGGCCAGGTCGAGTTGACAAGTGCTGGTGGTCACACCCGTCGTGTGCATGACCACCATCTGAAGCTGTACCTCAAGAGCGATATGGATCCGCTCTTGAAGGCACCTGTTCCTACACCACTATGAGCATCCACCCTCTGCGTCCAACTAAAGACGTAAAAGAAGCGCTTGTGGGGAGGCAATCCCACCAAGGTTTGTTTTCATTTCGTTTGTTTTCGGTTTGTCCACTTGGAACTATGGTTTCTATCACCCAGTGTGTTTTGATGACTCTAGCCCTGCTGACTCTTCCCATTTCCAGTCCCCCGACAGTCCGTTTTCCTAGTAACATCGTTTCCCCTTATTTCCCTCTGCCCAATTGAGGGCAATGTCGAACTTAAGTGTGTGTGTGTGTGGGGGGGGGGGTGTTTATCTATCTTTGACTGCTAGATGAGTTTATGTGCTTGGAGCCTAGTCCACTGTCCAATTTGATGAATTGAAGGCTCCAAGTACTGTTCCTTGCAATATCCTGCTCAGTATGCTTTGAATTGACAGTCTTTATGGTGATATGCAACCTAGGAAGGTAGTTGTAGCACTATGGAGGATGTTGATGCATTTAAGAAGTCTCCTTTCTTCTTCATATGGTGTTGGTTGATTGTGTGAAATAAGTGATCTCAGGACCCTTGAATTGTGTGGTATTGTGGACTCTCTACCTGTCATGGACTCCTGTATCATGTTTTTTTTAAAGGTGCGCTAAATTGTGCTTTTAAAATAACGTCTCTCATGCGAAAAGGGTGAAAGTGTGTAAGGGGAGACGGGAATCCAGTCCCAATTTCCACCTACTACCTCCAGCCCCCTTACATTTCTTTCCCCCGCACGAGGCTCGAGACATCTGCCCCCGACATGGCCGGTAAGAGCTGCTCCTGGCATGGCCAGTAAGAGTCGGGCTCCCTCAAAACCTTTAATAGGTGGGAGCCCCATTTTCTGGAAATAACAGGTTGGGACCCTTGAAAAAGAAATAAACACCAAAACAAAGAAAAAAAAGAAGGGTTCCAACCATCTTCCAGAAGAAAATAGAGCACCTTAAAATGAAAGTGAGTCCATGATCTTTCTGTTGTTGAGAGTCCCTTCGTCCACGATTCGTTTGTCCTCTGATCACTATTTGCCATGATGCCGACTCGAGACTAGAGTTCTCGCCGAAGAAACTAGGAGATTTCTTGTGCGTCGGTTGACCTCGTAAGCTGTTAAACGATCTATAAAATCCTCTACCGACGATCGGGGGTGCATGTTGCTATAGAGGTATGGAGAGCTGCATTGGTTTGAGTAATGTTTGCTTGGGGACAAGCAAACGGTTAAGTGAGGGGGAATTTGATGACTTGATATATACACATGTTTTTGTGCACCATTCCTATACCGTTTGAGTCTCATCTCTCGTGTTTTAGGCTGATTTCACGCTAGATTGTTCTTGTTTGTGATATTCGAGGTCCTATATAGTACGTGAAGGAAGGTTTGGGCACAAGTTCGGGGTCGATTGGACGAAGTTGGAACGTTTGACGAAAAGCTGGAAATTCTACACGGGCATACCTAAATTCCACACGACCGTGTGATTTGGTCGTGTGGAACCCCTTTGCGCGGGCAAGCCACATTGGCCGTGTAAAGGGCCCTTTTTGGCCGTGTGGAATTCCCAGGGAGTTCACACGGGCAGACCTAAATTCCACACGGCCGTGTGGTTTTGGCCGTGTAGCGTACCTGGAGTCACTAAATCGAACGCAACGTTTTGGAGAGCCACACGGGCAGACCTAAATTTCACACGACTGTGTAGCCTGGCCGTGTGATTGGGCAGAATTGGTTTTTTAACCCAATTTTAGGTATTTTGAAGGGGGGATCAATTGTCAGAGCTAGAAACAGAGTCCTAGAGAGAGAAAGTGCGAAGAACACACCCTAGATGTGATTTTGGAGCTGGGTTTCATCAATCAAGCTGGGATTTCATCCTTGGAGTGAAGATTATCATCCCATAGCAGATTCTTCCCATCATGATGAGTATGGCTGCTTTGTATTCGGTTTCCCTCTCTCTCTCTATGGAGTAGAACCCTCTCTCACTTGGGTATGAAGAACCCTAGTTCCATGTGTTAGTGATATCGATTGTAATGACGTTTGGATTGTGATACTGCTTGATTATAATCGATTGAAGTGTTTTAATTGAGTCAATTGAAGTCTGATCATCTTTTATTGATTTTTTGCTGCAACCTGAGATAGATAGAATATGATTAGGTTGTTAGAGCTTCTTCAATCGGTAGTAGTGAATCGATTATACGAGAGTTAGTCGATTCACTGCTTTGTACTGGAATCCAATTCCAGTAGTGGAGTTCTGTGTTATCTGCCTTAGCGTTCTATCCCGATGTAGACTAGTCGTCTGTCTGGTAGTATGTCTGAGAGGGCTTGGTCAGCTTAAGAGATTCCAAGCTACTGTCGGATCTTCTGCAGTTTAATCAACAGTAAATCAACGAAAGATAATTACAACTTTGACCTAACTAAGGAGCTAGGGGGACTCATTCCCGAGTACTCTTCCCCTGCTTAAGAACTTCGAACCTTTTCCTGCTTTCTTACTGCTTTATCTTAAAATCACATTCACTCAACTTAGTCTGCTAGATAATAGATAATCACGGAGTAGACAGTAGATCTAGAACCCGGATTGATAAATAGAACTTGCCACTATTCTGCATTTCCGGACTGCGATTACACTTGGTCGCAGTTTGGTGTTGTGTTTTAGCGTGTCAGATAGGATGGAAAGGGATTGTCGTGCACCTTCATCACACGGGAAGAGGCTTGAACAATATCAGGGTAGATGCCCGACCACGATCAAGGAGAATACTTGATCGATATAGAGTTCAACGAGTTTGGAATCCATCAAACTCTCATTCAAGAGTAAATACTCAAGAACCAATGGGTTTTTGTATTCATCAAAGTCTGCCTTCCCATAGGCAATTTCTCCTTTATTTATAGAGCTTACAAAACAATGTATCTACGCTTATTTAAAGCTTAATAATCCTCTCTATCAAATAAGGAATGCAAATACCAAAAGGGAAATGAAATAAATCAATGATCCGTGCAAAAGGAGAAGGAAATAAAGCAATGATCCGCCCAAAAGGGAAAAGAAATGGAGAAAGAATCTGCCATGAATCCTCCCAAAAGCAATGACTTAGTCCTTAAGTAATTCATTTATTCCTTCTGTCGAGTCCGGCTGGGGAATCACATCAGTCCCTCCCCGTTGAAGAAGCTTTGCCCTCAAAGCTTTCCAACCTAGCTTCCAAACGAAATTCTCTAGAACCCTCCATTTAGGTTCACCGTCTTCTTGTCTCTTCTTCCCATACTTCCAGTGATAGAAAAGACAATCATCCACAGAAAGATGAAAGTTACGCCCCTGCTCCTCTCCATAAAAGCCTCGAACCCCTTCTGCTAGCTCGACAATCTTCGTGCCTTGTTTCGCAGCGACTATCCTCAAAGCTTGTGAAATTCTACAAGAAAGATCATCATGAAAACGATCGCAATAAACCATCTTCTCCTTTTCCACCGTGACCAGCTCGTAGGAATCTCCATCTTCCTTCTACAGTTCTGGACAGTTGTTCGACGATTTCTCTGCTACCAAATTCGTCTCCTCCTCCTCATAACCCAAACTCTGATGCTCCTCCTTAATATCGCGGACGGTTGTTGCTTGAACTAGGACAACCAACGTCTTCTGCATATCCTTCCAAAGATCGGTGTCGACTAATTTCTTTGTGCCTTCGACAAACTCGTTCATGTCCGCCACATACTTTGGATCAATCATGGCTTGAAGCATATCTTGTGATCTTCTTCTCCTTGTCACTCAAATTGTCACTGAGTTTGAACCAGGCTCTGATACCATCTGATGTAAGCGGAATTCGGGAATCCGAACTCGCTCACGAATCAGAATACGCAGCTCTCACTTTTTAGGGTTTTCCGAGATTTTCTCAAGAACACAAAAATAAAAGGATATGATGGAAATGGATTGACGTGCAACTTCAACACACGGGAAGAGGCTCGAACAATATCAGGGTAGATGCCTGACCACGATCAAGGAGAATAATTGATCGATACAGAGCTCAACAAGTTTAGAATCCACCAGACTCTCATTCAAGAGTAAATACTCAAGAACCAAAGGGTTTTTCTATTCATCAAAGCCTGCCTTCCCATAGGCATTCCTCCTTTATTTATAGAGGTTACAAAATAATGTATCTACGCTATTTAAAGCTTAATAATCCTCTCTATCAAATAAGGAATGCAAATACCAAAAGGGAAAGGAAATAAGTCAATGAACCATGCAAAAGGAGAAGGAAATAAAACAATGATCCGCCCAAAAGGGAAAAGAAATGAAGAAAGAATCTGCCATGAATCCTCCCAAAAGCAATGACTTAGTCCTCAAGTAATTCCTTTATTCTTTCTGTCGAGTCCTGCTAGGGAATCACATCACTCCATCTCATCAAAACAGGGCATGGCCTGTAAATTGGGTGGAATTAACGCTGACACTGACTTTTTCTACGTTTTTGTCTCGTTAGGAGGGTTTAAATAAAGTCAGATTAGATGTTTGGAGTTGTTAAAACAAAGCTTTTACAGGTATTTGACTGGTGGAGGAAATTGAAATTGAAAATAGGGGTTTAAACGTTAATATAGTATGGTTTAGGGTGATTTTTTTTAATTTTAAAGCGACGAATATCGATTCAGGTCATTGACATGATCGATTGTTGACTTTCTTCCTAGCACGGTGAGAGGAGGCATTATGGATGGAGGGAGACAATGGCCTCTTAGAGTCTTAGTGACCACTAGCAACTAAGCCCGCGCTCTGCTGCGGAGAATGCGTGAACAACTCTAAGTCATCATGTATAATTTATAATTAGTTACAGATCCAATAAACAACAACGTTAACATTTTGATTTATATCATAATAATAAATAAACACAACAAATCGTTAGAATAATCGAAAAGCAATGATATATATATATGTATATATGAAAAGTACGAACCATTTTACATTCAAATTAGATATAGAAACCCAATAAATTATTAAAATTTTGGGGGATTAGCTATGCTAGGCATTGTGAGTGATCCGAGTTCTTTCCATGAACGTATGGCCTTGCATATGCTTGTCCTTTTTATTCGGTTCCACGCTGGTAGTACAAGTTTTTTAAGATGTGGACACCTGAATAAAAAATTAATCAATAGTTGAATTTTTATCTTTGTTAATTACCATAACAAATAAATGGTGCATGACTTCAATGACAATATAGTTTTCTGAATGGCAGCAAATTATAAAAGGATGTACCTCAGTCTTATTAGATTTACTAATTGGAGGAAATATAAGAGGTGGAAGAGATAAATTCACATGTTATTGCATGTTAAATCACACTCTTAAACATAAATTTATAGTGGCAGCAGACATAATCATAGTTTACCTTTCATCAAGGAGACTCTAAAATATAAAGGTGTATATCTCTTATACTTAGAGATATTCTATAAATTGGTTTGTGAGTTGTTCATCCTACTTTATATCTTTTTTATTTATTTGTCCCACTGAATACCTTTACTAATTAGTTGTTAAATTTTTTTGAATCACTGTAATTTTGTTGGTTAAGACTACATCATGTGTAAAATAATATTATTTCGTTTTTCTTTATGTTAACAATCACAGTTAACAAATAGTGAAAATTTTAAAATGTCTTTTCAACAATTCGAAGAAGTAACACCTTTCGATTGTTTACAATCTAGAAAAAGATAACAATTATCCAAACGAGCCCTTATTCTTATTATAAATAGAGTCCATGTTATCAAAATAAATCCAGGAAAAATAAACCTTACATTTGACAATCAAAATTAGAAAAAGCTACAGAATACTAACATCAAGCTCAATTCATCATGAAGATAATCCTGTGCACATCAGCACATTACTGTCAACGACATGCTGAATGATTTCCAACAACAATTACCATTCTGGTTACACAACTAACCATAATCGTGCATATATAATGGAGAAGTAAAGCAAAAATGTAAAAAGCATCGACAACCGACCACCAACTTGGTCGAAAATGATCGGCGGAATTCGGCTGTGCCCCCTCCATGTCAGTGGTTCCGATCGTAATGATGGCCAACATTCCGTTCGACCGTAAAATAATGCCCTAGCTTTTGAGTCTTTGGACATAAGCGGGTCTGCCACGAGGCCGTGATGACGGTTGTCAACCGCGTCCGATATTAGGAGCCGAGATTGCGATTCACTGTTCCTCTGTTTATCATCGCCAACACCATATTTCTTTGCTGACATCGGGCATAAATGAGTGGGGGACGATGTTGAAGAACACGGACGATTACAATTCCAGGGTTGTGTGACGATTACGCTTCCTAGGGATACCAATAGCGACGGTTCATATAAGTATTCCCCCTTATTTTCTATTATTATTATTATTATTATTATTTCTTTGTATTCCATTTATAATTATCCCCATAATTTATTTGTTTATTTCTTCTAATTAATCTTTTCAACGCTTTTCATTTTTATCTTCTATTGCATCATTTTCCATAATTATTTCCTACTTAATTATTTATTATTTGTTTAATCCCTTATAATTTTTTCCTATTGATAATATTCACGGTTCCTATATATAATCATGCATAAACTTCCTAGTCAAGCAATTCTTGGATATGAATTTTGAGGATTTGTATCGCGATTAGATACCTAGAATTTTTATCATCAAGTATATGATACGTATTTAAAGTTACCAATAAACCTATGTCAAGTTGCATGAGTTGTTGTCAAGGAGAGGAAGGGGAAATAGAATGGAATAGTTGGCTAGCTTCTGATACTTTTGCAAGCAAACCAGAGTTGAAGTACATTAAATTGGACACGACAAAGTGAGAATTATTGGGGTTTCTATTATTGTTCTTGGTATTGAACTATTACCGTCATTATATAGCTATATTTTATTTTCAAGAGGTAGATGCGTTGACCTAATGAGAACGTAATGACCAAAATAAAAATATGTTTTTGTCGTATACCCGCATTTCCATCATCAACATGGTGTTCATTTGGTGGCTGCAAGCAAGCATCATTATGGAGAACTCCTATTGTGAGAGAAATGAGATGAAATTAGAATAATATATTTGGCAATGCATGCTGGTCTCTTTCAAACAGTTTAGTTTACTGCATACAGTGACCAAGAAATAGCATTCTATTTCCAACCCTTTAAAGCTCGTTGTTTTGGAAGATGATGCATACAATTTATTTTTGCTCCCCAAGCTCTTGTGTTTCTCTCTTGCTGTTTTTTATTATTATTCTGCTCTCGTGTCCTATAATTGCTGGTGTTTCTTTTTTTAATCGCTCCGTTGATTGTCTTTTGTCTTTTGAAGGTGCTCTGGCCAAGTTATAGAATTGTGAGAATCCTCTTCAAAGCCAGGAATGTTTTATAGGAATGAAAATGGACAGCTATTTGGTGGTACAAGCACATGCAATGGCATTAAACATATCCAATAATACATATACTGCACATCAACAGTATACACAAACTATAGGGACCCAAGCATAGTATATGTCTCTTTCGCATTGAGTACAAGCAGACAAAACAAAAAAGAGCTCACCTAGACGACATTAAAAGCCTACAATAATGCATGTACGGGAAAACAACAGTGCAGACAGACTATAGGGACCCAAACATAGTGTACGTCCCTTTCATATTGAATACAAGAAGACAAAATAGAGAAGAACGACCCAAGCATAGTGGATGCGTTAACATGTATATATGGATGTGGTTGTTTGATCACCCTAGCGTGGTTCCCATGAAAGTGCTTGAAGATGATATAAAAATATAAAGGAAGAACTTGAGATACGCTATATGCTAAATAGTTCAATTTATCACATATTCAAGCCACAATTATTTGGCTTCACATGAAAATTTATCACTATTTGTAAGTGTTGAACTTTTGAATCATCACAGAAATGCAGACAAAGTCGAGCATTATGTTAAATTTTTCTAACAGGCTAAATTACAAGTTTGGTCACTTGGTTTATCAATTTTTTTTTGTGTTAGAGACTCATTTTTTCCATGCTTGTAATCATTCACGTTGAAGCTCGTTACATCATTGGTCACGGGTTGTACAACTCCATTAAAATTATCCTATATAACAGACAAGTATAATTGTTAACCGTGAAGCAAATAATGTGAATTAAAAAATCAAAACATATACAGTACAATATTATTTTGATTTATCTCCGTCACCACCACAAAAAACCTAAAAATCCCACTACCGGAAACCCAAAAACTCCCTTTCAATACAGCCTGATCAACAAATTGTATCACCAAATACTCTATGAAGCATATAAAATTCACACTCAATATCTTTTACAGCTTCCTGATCTTTCACTCAATTTTCCCGGCAACTAAACAATCAGTCAAATTTCCACAGCGAAAACAACATTGAGATGAGAAAACTGATTTAAAAAATGAAACACAGTTCAATAGAGAAAAAGGAGAACAAGTACATAGGGGGTCATATTTGGGACATTTATACTTGATTTTGTTGTTACTTTCACCCCCATCGATCTTCGTTGTAAATATCAACACAACTTCCAACGGTGAACGGTGCAATACGAAGATTCAATGACTTAGATCCTGGCGATTCCAACTCGATATTCATCTTACGACCCGATTATTCTTCATTGCTAGGATTGATTGCTAGGATTATTCATGTACGAATATTGTATCGAACAAGAGCCACATCTGATTTGTGTCTTTTTAAATTATAAACTTTAAGGATTGAAGTAAGAGGTTGCGACGTCATTTCGTCATCTTGTTCCCTAAACACGGCTTTGATAGTTTCTTCCACAAAATCAAATCAATCTCCATCTCCTCAAGTATACAACCAACAGACGCTTCACCAGCCGAAGCAAACTCGTCATTGACGAAGATATAACACCTATCGTCTTATCCCACCAATGACCTGGCAGCTGGCGATAACTGTATTAGGATATCAGATGCATCGGGTTCCAGAGCACAACAAAGATGACAACTCCTCGGCAAGCAAATTTGAGCGCCACATATCCTCCAAGGAAGAACTGAAACTAATGGAACTATCAGCTTGACTTCGAGCTAGCCCCTCATTCCCAGAAAGGAAAAAGAAAAATATAGATAGTCCAC